AGAGGGTGAAGGAGCGATCCCCCCTTGATGATGCGTGCAAGGTCATATCCATGGTGTCAAGCCGTGCCTTGCACGACCGAATAGGACCTTGTCCTGGTCGACAATGCCCACACGGGGAACTTAGACTGAACGTCTTGACTTTTGGCCGGTTGGAACGCGGGGACGATGCGAGACGTGAAGGACGGATAGGGGGTAGGGGTCTCCACGCAGCTATGGCACTCCCCCTGTGACATGTATGTACACGCTAGGGGACAAGAAACCCGTTAAGAACGCTGCTGATCAGAGGCAATCTATGACAAAGGTCGAGGTCACGAGTCGAGGCTAGAAACGGACCTGGCCCAAATGATGACGGGCAACCCACTAAGTGTGGCATCAATGTTGTACATTCCTCCGTTCCCATCAGGAAGACAAGCGACCGGGTTGGAGGATCCGAAGGACCAAGTCTTGGCCATCATTGTGAAGGAGCTAGCTGACCTCAGGAAGCAAGTGGAAAAAGATACCAGTGCGGACCTCAACATAAAGTTCAGTACCCCATTCACCAAATAAGTGTTCATCGAAGATATACTATAAACACATTACATCCGATTGTGATACAATTTGATAATAATTTGTCTTATTGAATATTGAGATATATGTCCATATATATAGGGATTATAAGAGAGCGTCCTATTCCTAGTAGGAAAGGAATAAAGTAATTATGGTAATACAAGAATAAGGAAACTAAATAAAATAATATTAGGAGTCTTCCTATTATCCCCGCGCAAGCTGATCAACGGATACGAGGGGCAGCTTGGAACACAAATAATGAAACGGAGTCGGAGGAAGCGGTTTTGTTAGTATGTCAGCAAGCTGCTCAGAAGAAGGAACATGATGTGTAGTCATAGTGCCAGCCATAACCTCGTCTCGAACAAAGTGACAATCAGAGCCAACATGGTTCATGCGATCATGGAGAACGGGATTCTTGGTGACAGAGATTGTGGACTCATTATCACAATAAATCTTCGGTTTCATAGGCGGGACATGCAAAACATCCATAATATAATGAAGCCACATCGCCTCTGCCACCCTCGCGGCCATAGCACGATACTCAACTTCGGTGGAGGAGCGCGAGACGCGAGTCTGTTTTTTTGTGCACCATGAGATAAGATTCGGCCCCAGCATAAGAAGATACACAGTGGTGGAACGACGATCATCTTTGTCATTAGCCCAGTGAGAGTCCGAATAAACAGCAAGATCAAGAGAGCCTTTTCTGAACAGAAGGCCATGAGAAGAAGTACCTTTCAAGTAGCGAAGAATATGTTTGAGAGCCAAGTAATCCTTATCTGTAGGATTATGCATGGTCTGAGAAACTCGATTCACAGCATACTGAATATCAGGGCGAGTTACCACAAGATAGTGTAGACCACCCACAAGGCTTCGGAATAATGTTGGGTCAGAGAAGGTGGACGAGATCTCTTGGGTTGGCCGTGCCGCCATCGGAGTGACAGTGGGTTTGCAATCAGTCATGCCAGCCCGTTGAAGAAGATCAAAGATGTATTTTGTCTGATGAAGCAAGATAGTATCCACAGAACGACGAACCTCAATGCCAAGAAAGAAATCCAGAGGACCCAAGTCTTTGAGGCGAAAATTTTTATGCATAGCCTGAGTGACAGTAGAGATGAGATCAGAAGAGCTCCCTGTAATAATGATGTCATCAACATATAGGAGAACAATGACCATGCCGCGGGAGCTGTGAAAAGTGAACAGACTAGTGTCATGACGATAGAACTGGAAGCCAAGTCACTGCAAAAAAGTAGCAAAACAGGTGTACCAAGCACGAGGAGCCTGTTTAAGGCCATACAAAGATTTGCGTAGCTTGCAAACAAACTCAGGCCGATTTGGATTGACGTAGCCCGCTGGTTGAGACATATAAATATCCTCATCGAGTGTACCATGGAGAAAGGCATTGGTAACATCAAGCTGGTGAAGGGGCCAATCATAATGTAGAGCAAGAATGAGTACCAGACAGATGGTTTGCTACTTAACAACCGGGCTGAACATCTCTTTATAATCAATGCCATACTCTTGATGGTACCCTTTGGCCACTAGACGAGCCTTGTACCGAGAGACGGAGCCATCCGGATTCTGTTTTAGGCGATACACCCACTTGCAACAAATAGGATCTCGGCCCTTGGGTAGGGGCACCAAATCCCATGTGCGCTGTACATTCAGAGCTGCAAATTCCTCATCCATGGCATGGCACCAATAGCTATTCTTGGAGGCTTGGTGATAGGTGTGAAGTTCAGAGGTAGGAGGAGAGGTATCAATGGTGGTAGCAGTATAGGTTTTAGGCTTGAAAATGCCTGATTTGGCACGGGTTTGCATGGGATGGGCATTTGTTGTGGTGAGCTGTTTTGTCGACGGTCGACCGTGTGGGGGTGAGCGGGTGATGGTATCGACCGTCTGTAGAGATTCCGAGAGGGGTTGGGAGGGCGATCGACCGTGGGGTGAGGAACGGTCCATGTGGTGAACCGTCTGTAGAGGTTCAGAACAGGTGTGAGGGGACGGTCGACCGTGGGTGGATGTATGAGGGAAACGGTCGACCATTTGCGGAGCAGTAGCAGACGGAACAATTTGAGAGCTGTGCGGTGCCGGACCCTGTGAGCTTGGTCTGGGAGGAAAGATGGGGATGATGCCTAAGGGGTTGGAGGAGGTTGGGGTAGATAGAAGTTTAGAGTAGGGAAACTGATCTTCTACAAAACGAACATGACGGGAGACATACGTTTTCTGAGAAATAGGATCATAACACTTGTAACCTTTTATGGTGGGATGATAACCCAGGAAAACACATGGAGTGGAACGTGGTTGAAGCTTGTGATGTGTGTGAGGGCGAAGCCAGGGATACACAAGACAACCAAAAGGGCGAAGGTGAACATAATCCGGAGGCCGACCATAGAGGACTTCAAAGGGGCATTGGTTATAGAGGGTGGCTGTGGGTAGGCGATTGATAAGGTAGTTGGTTGTAGCAAGGGCTTTAACCCAAAAGGATACAGGAAGGTGGGAATCATAGAGTAAAGCAATGACAGTCTCAATGAGATGCCGATGCTTGCGTTCAGCAACACCATTCTGTTCAGGAGTGTAAGGGCTGGACGTGTGATGCGGAATCCCAAGATTTTGAAGAAAAATGCCAAAGGCTGTATTTACAAATTCTTTCCCATTATCACTTCGAAAAATCTGAATATTTGAATTAAATTGAGTTTTAACCATTTTTTCAAAGCTAGTGAAAACGGAGTAAGCCTCAGATTTGTGTTTAAGAGGGTAAATCCAAGTAAATTTACTAAAATCATCAACAAAGCAGATATACAAACGAAAACCAGAGATAGATGGAACAGAGGTTGGTCCCCAAACATCAGAATGAATTAGTTGAAAAGGCGTTGTGGCCTTATGTTCAGAGAGTTCAAAGGATAAACGACAAGACTTAGACACATGACAGGACTCACAATGTAATTGATCAGAAAATTTAAAACCTAAATTAGACAAAATAGACTTGGCAACAGCAGGAGCCGGATGTCCAAGCCGGCGATGCCAGGTGGATGCAGTGATCGACAGCTTGACACACAACAGGGATAGGCTTGGAAGGAAGGGTATAGAGACCATGCAGGGTAATTTGAATCGGTGAGCTTCACTGGGATAAGATTATGGAGATTGCGGAGAAGAAGCTTGACGCCAGAAGGAAGCGAAGCAAGCAGATCTGAAGGTTGAGCCATGGTCGCCGTTTACGGTCGACCGGCGAGAGGGAGGAGACCGGCGGTGAAGCACAGTCTCAAAAAAAAAGGCTAGGGTTTAAACCTAAGGCTCTGATACCATGATACAATTTGATAATAATTTGTCTTATTGAATATTGAGAGATATGTCCCTATATATAGGGATTACAAGAGAGAGTCCTATTTCTAGTAGGAAAGGAATAAAGTAATTATGGTAGTACAAGAATAAGGAAACTTAATAAAATAATATTAGGAGTCTTCCTATTAGATTGTATGATATATTAGAAAAATTTGCTCATATAGGACTAAACGATAGTAGGTTTCTCTGAATAGGACCAAATATATTTTATTCTGTTTTATAACACATATTTCTATAGGATCTGCCACCGTATATGCCCTCATTAGCAACACATGTTGGATAATGACTCATTATACAAGTGAAATTTTCACTAAATAGTACTAAAACATAGTCCCTCCGTTCTCAAAAACACTTCCTCTTTCATTTTTTCCACTTTCAACAAAACACTTCCACTTTCTATTAAAAAAACTCTTTTTGCCCTTACTTTTTCATACCCTACCTATCACATAATACTTTTTCTCTAATAATCTATCCATCACATCTTACTTTTATCCATCACATCAAGGGAAAAATTTGAAGTCAACTACAATTTACCACTTCCTTATTTTTACATCTAGTCAAAATAGGAACACTTTTTAAGAACGGAGGGAGTATGTCATTTTCCAATGTAGTACTTAAACTCTTTTATTCCCTAAATAGTACTTGAATAATGTCTAGTGGTGGAATAATATCCAGTGATCGTGAACATTTAGTTTGAACAATGTCCAATGACAGTGAATATTTACTTGAACAATGACCACTGGTACTACATTGAAAAATTAAAACATATTGTACTACATTAGGAACGTCACTAAGTTTTAGTACCATTTAGGTAAATTCTTCATTATACGAATGACTCTACGAAAATAGTCATTAACAAAAAGTGTTAGATAATAACTGATTATTTCAATAACTATTCAAATTGTTTTTAGTAATATCTTATTCTATTTGAATTGTGTAATAAGTCATTTTTCTCAAAAGTAGTGCATTTTAAAATTTTTTATTGTCAAATGTTAAAGTAAATAAGACCGATTCTATTTAGAAAAAAATGATGTGTTTAAATCCTGTTTGCATAAATTACATGCATTACATATTATCTAAAAATAAAAAATCTAAGTACGAAAGAGTAGAAAGCAGCAGTCGTTTGGTTTTACCTTCCAATGCTTAATTAAAAAGTACATCAGCGTGCAACATCACGCAAACTTCTCTATTGATCAAAGCACAAAAATGTAGTCTTTGGCCACTTCAACCCAACGATCCGAACTTACTCAGCTCCCGGCCACTTTAATTTCACTCGCTCGACTGCAGGGTCCCAATCTTCTGTCGTATTCATGGCCAATAGCGACGCGGTGGCGGCGGAGCCGCTCCTTGGCGGCAGCAACCACCGGGAGAATGGCGGAGAGAAAAAGCCGCGGGCGCGGTGGAGCAGCAGAATGAGAAGCTTTGGCGGGGACTTCGGAGGGGAATCGAAGAAACTATGGAAGATTGCGGGCCCGGCGATATTCACGGCCATTTGTCAGTACTCATTGGGCGCGCTCACCCAAACCTTCGCCGGAAAAGTTGGTGAGCTCGAACTGGCTGCTTTCTCCATCGAGAACTCCGTCGTGGCTGGTCTTGCTTACGGAGTCATGGTAATTACTCCTAGTTAACTATTACCTCAAAATTTTACCATTTCAAATATAATTAAATAAAATATATATTTCGATTATTAATTAAATAAAATACTCCCTTCGTTCTTGAAAATATTTCTTATTTTGACCAATGGCCAAAATAAGGGAGTATTAAAATTTTGTCTTTGATGTGATGAATGAAGTTTTAGAAAAAAAGTATGATGTGATATGTAGGTAAAGAAAAAACAAGGTTAAAAATGTGGAAATGTTTTGATGAAAGAGGAAAAAATGAAAGATGAAATATTTTGTAGAACGGAGAAAGTAATATTTTAAGATATTTAATTTTATAAAATGAATTTAATAAAACTATTTTTGCATAAATATGTTATACCACTTTTATTTAAATTATGGTCAAAATTTAAAAATTTTATTGAAAGAGTTAAAAATGGGCAAGCAATCATGGAGGAAGAGAGTACCTCATTTACCCTGCATGGCCACTACTACGGTTCAGTGTTCACCCCACCTAAAAATATGTTCACTTTTGACTCTTTGAAGTTAACAATGACCTGGCAAAACCGACCCGAAACCGATAATCCGAACTGAATAACCCAGAACTGAACACGAATTGATCCGAAAACTAAAGAATCAAAATAGAACCGAACACCGAAATGATCCGAACCAAATCGAACCCAAACCGAATATATTCAGCCCGATTCAGATCCGAATGAACTTGGAGAAAAAGAATTACCTATATATTTTTACATATGTTGATGTGTTTCTACAAAAACATATTTAAATTACAGGTGCAAACCGTGTAACTATTTTCATGTGCAAATCTTTTACCCCATATTTTATAACTTAAGTTAAAGTGTTTTTTTATTTTATCGCCTTCGAACTTAAAGTTTGACAAACATCGTCTCTTCAAAAATATTAGAAAAAAATATTAAAAATAATACATTTAAAGTGTTTTTTTAATACCAACAATTTGGTAATAACTTTTACACTGTATATTTCAATTCATTATATATTTTTATATATAATTATTCAAATATTTGACACACAGTGAAATGGATAGTTAAATAGAAATAAAAGAAGTACGAAGTAGAATGTTAACTTAAAAGATCGCGCCGAAAACTTTAGGAGGGAAAACTTTAGAATATAAACAATTAGTCAATTATATAAGTATTATTTTTTATGTACGTCCGTTTTAAATAATAAAATAACTACAGAGTATATCAAAAATTGATTAAATTTATTATGTGATATTTTTGATTTATTAGTAAATATTTAAAATATATCTGAACTAATATAAACCAAAATCGACACAAACCCGAATCGATATAAACTCGAACTGATACAAACCCAAACTGATACAAACCCGAACCGATACAAATCCGAACCGAAACCGAAACCAAAAAGCAGTCAAACTGAAATAAACTTGGAACCGAACTGACCCGAATCAAACCGACCCAAACCGATTATAACATATATCCGAATGAGACCCGAACCGAAACCGAATCGATTGACCCGATTGCCAGGTCTAGCTAACATTGATAACTTATGATTATTAATTAAATACCATTGATAGTAGATATTGATACAAAATAATTTTATTAGTTTTATCCTGTAAAATATTTTTAAAATATTATTTCATCTAACTAATACTCCATCTGTCTCAAAATATTTATCTGATTTTCACTTTTAAACGGCAACCAAGATCAAATTTGACATATACTACTCCGTATTTAATAAGGGCAAGGTTCCCATGACATTGGTTCCTGGGGGCGCTCCGGTACCCCTTTCGTAAAATTGACGGTTCCTACACCCCTAACCCACCCGGTAAACCCCCCCACCTCGCCCCGACCCGAACACACTCCCCCACCCCCTTCAATTGCACCCCACAAGTTGATTTTGACTTTGGAGTCAAATTTTGACTCCAAAGTCAAAATTAACTTGTGGAGTGCAATTGAAGGAGGTGGGGGGGTGTTCGGGGTGGGGCGGGGTGAGGGGGTTTACCGGGGGGTTAGGGGGGTAGGAACCGTTAATTTTACGAACGGGGCACCGGAGCGCCCCCGAGTCATCCCATGACATTGAAGTTAATTAGCTAAAAAAAATATTTTGAAAATATTTTAAAAGATTAATCTAATAAAATCATTTTCGTGTAAATATGTACTCCGTAATATCAATTATATTTAATAAATGATCAAAGTTTGTCAATTTTCAATGAAAAAGTCAAAATTAAACAAAATTTAAAAACACTCTGGAACGGTAGTAGTATACAAGTGAGAACCGATTAGCTAGGTTTGTGAAATACGTACGTATAAATTATAAACAGAGAAAAGTGCTTAACTATAATCCTCCGTATTATATATATACATATTGAAAAAACGTTAAAAAAATGGATTGCATGGCATGTGGACGGATATATGCAGCTGGGAATGGGGAGTGCATTGGAGACGCTGTGCGGGCAAGCGTATGGTGCGGGGCAAATGAGGATGCTGGGGATATACATGCAAAGATCCTGGGTTATATTACTCACCACCGCCTGCATTTTGGTCCCTATCTATGTCTTCTCCCCTCCTATTCTCCACCTCATTGGACAGACCCCTCGCATCTCCCATGCCGCCGGTTAGTTCTACCTACCTCTTCCATCTTTCACTATCATCTCTTTTACAACGTACGTACTCCCAATAAATTATTAAGGTTTTTGAATTGTGAAATTTGCACTGGATAAGACTAAAACATAAGTCATTTTCTATTGTAGGACTTAAACTTTTTTATTTCCTAAATAGGACTTAATAATGACTTGTGAGAAGAATCATGTCCAAGTAATGCTGGACATTCAGTTGAATAATGACTAATAGATAATGACCAATAGTCCTACATTGAAAAATAAAAACATATGGTTCTATATTGAAAAAGTCATTATGTTTTAGTCCTATTTAGGTAAATTATCCAATTCAATTCTCATACGTTAATAAAGATGCCCTATGATACAATTTAGAGTAAATTTTACCGAGTATAAAGCATATTTATCAAAGCGAAAATTATTGTTCATCTTCTTGGTGGAAACATGAAGGACGACGTAAATTTTTAGAACAGAAGAGGTAGGTTACGGTGCATATTTATCAAAGCGAAAATTATTTCAAATAATCTCACCTTTTCGCGCTCTTTCAAAAATAATCCCACTTTTGATTGCCACTGGAGATAATTTGACATTTTCGCTCGTGTGCGAGTTTTGGGTCACTGTTAAAAAGCTAATGGTCACTTAACAAAATTTTTGGAAAATACATATTTTCACAAATAAATGAAAGGTAGGATTATTTTAGGTAAATTCTCTTTTTTTGTTTTTTAATATCCAAAATTTAAATGATTTTTTTAATTAAAAAATATTTTTATATATAATACCAAATTTAAGTATCTTTTTAGAGTGAAACTAATTATTTTTTTCAATAATAGATAGTCTGGTAATAATTGAACAATAAATTATTCTACGCAATGGAGCTAATTTGTTTACTTCATAACTCACTATATTTTTTATAAGTTGCAATAATTCTTCTTGAGCGGAACTTGAAATTGTTTTTTGATAATATACTATTATTATTTTTAAAATAAATATAATAAATATTAAAAAATATTTATTATAAATATTTTAAAAATAAATATTACAAATTCAATATTTTAAATAAATATAATAAATATTAAAATTAATAACCCCAGGTCTAAATGTATCCCATGGAATGGATGTTTAACCCTCTCTCAGCTCTCCATCTAATTAAGCACTCACAATCCATTAAATGATAGTATCTTTCATCAATCCAAAATTTTTTTAACACTTTTTAAACATCACCAATGGAGATGCTCTAAACTTTGTACTACCTCTCCTACAATGTATTTGTCCAGTTTGACTTTTTTGAGTCAAATTGGATAAACTTTAAATTCTAATTACTCCTAATTTGTATTGCATATTAGTAATAATGAAATACAAATTTGAAAGTTCTCAATACGATAAATCAAATAAAGTCATTTTTATATTAAAATACATTACAATTTTAACTAAATTGAAGCTCAAAGTTTCTCTAGTTTGACTCGAAAAAGTCAAACTGGACAAATACATTGGGACACGGAATATTTGCTAATATTGAACGAAATCTAGACTTCGGGGAAGGACAGAATATCCAAGAACTCTATGGGATAAGATTTTGCTAAAACTGAAGGTCTCCATGAACAAAACAAAATGAAGAGATTTCTTTATATTGGCACAAATTATACTCAGTAACAAGGCATTCTCTCGTGCACTTTCTTGCTTGTTCACAAAATGTTATACTACTAATTTAATATGCCGCTATGACTTGTTCCCAAAAACTACCTCCGTTGAGGCTAATCTTGAAAAAAGTCTACATCTTTAACTATGCACTCTTTAACTAATTATGGATGCATGTACCCTACAACAATGCAGGGAAGTTCTCTTTATGGATGATACCACAACTATTTGCATATGCCATCAACTTCCCAATACAGAAATTCTTGCAAGCACAGAAGAAAGTGTTGGTGATGGCATGGATATCTGCAGCAGTGCTGTTGCTGCATGCCTTCTTTAGCTGGTTACTTATGATGAAGCTGGAATGGGGATTGGTGGGAGGAGCTGTCACCCTCAACTCTTCATGGTGGCTCATTGTCATCTCACAGTTGATTTACATTTTCGTCTCCAAGTCAGATGGCGCTTGGGATGGATTCTCATGGCAAGCTTTCCAAGACTTGTTCGGCTTTGTCAAGCTTTCTCTAGCTTCTGCCGTTATGTTATGGTAGTATTTATTGCAATTTCATAATGTTAGTTATCTTTTAACTAGCCAAATATAACATATAATGGAATAACTACATGGTTTGCAGCTTGGAGTTTTGGTACTTGATGGTGATAATTGTCATAGCAGGGCGTTTGAAGAATCCTCTAGTCCCAGTTGACGCACTCTCTATTTGGTACGTAATTTGTTTCTCCGTGTATATGCTTTACCCTTTAGACCTGAATTTCCATATTAATTGATTATTTATCTTCCAAGTAATAACACTTTTTTGTGTAATTTTATGCAGCATGAACCTACAAGGATGGGACGCGATGATTTCTATCGGGTTTAATGCAGCCATAAGGTGAAACTATGAGCATTTGTACCTCAAATAATGTTAAATGTTCACGAGAACGAACAATAGCATATCAGTGTTACTAAAAAAACATCATAGTATGTATGTAGTGTACTACTTGGTAGATCAATAGTGACAGTTAGTCTTTGTTGTTCCATTGGCTATTTCACTCTGTTTGTGGCCATCTAGTGAACTAAAACCAAGATGGGTGGCTTTTTTTCAATGGATATTGCAGTGTGAGAGTGTCAAATGAACTTGGGGCTGGGAATGCGAAGATAGCAAAATTGTCTGTGTTAGTCGTTTCCATTACGTCAGTGGGAGTTGGACTTATTTGTATGGCAATTGTGATTGCGACAAGACACATTTTCCCGCTAGCTTTCACTAACAGTGACGCAGTTGCCAAAGAAACCACGAAGCTAGCAATTCTGTTAGGGTGGACGTGTCTACTTAATAGCCTCCAACCTGTGTTATCTGGTAAGTAAAGTGCCACTTCTGCTCATATTTGCATAGTTAAGAAATTTTAAAATGACTTCAGCTTAACTTTATAAATTGAAACGGGAAGAACGTTTTCGAATGAGTTATGAGTTTTTGAACTAGGAAATTAAATTTCCAAATTAAGTTTTCTTTGTTGAAACAGGGGTTGCAGTTGGAGCTGGATGGCAATCTATTGTAGCATATGTGAACATTGGATGTTACTACATTGTAGGGTTGCCTGCTGGAATCCTTTTGGGCTTTACATTCGACTTCGGTGCCATGGTACGCATACACGATTAATCTGGACTGGACTTCAGATTAATTTCTTGTGATTCAACTAACAAAGATTCTAGCAAGCCAGACATATGTTTTGCATGTATATAACTGGATCAATTACCTTATGATTTGTAGGGAATCTGGGGTGGAATGATAGGAGGAATATGCTTACAGACACTCATCCTTGTAGTTCTTGTCTCAATGACCAATTGGAATAAAGAGGTGCGTACGTACTACCCTTCTGTCCTTCGCACTTCTCTCTGAAAGTCGTTGGCGCCCTTGTCCTTATGAAACCACAAAAACGACTCGTTATTACTCCCGAAACATGCCCTGAAAAAAAGCTATAATAAGATTAATCCGTAGAATTCCAACATTATGTGACTCTTAATGGACACAATACCTTAACGGCATGTTTAAGAACTTAGATTTGGATTTCAAATCTAGATTTGACTCAAATTCCATGTTTGAGAACCTTAACACTATGTTTGGTTCAAGGAATTTGAAAGGGAAGAGAAAAGAAAATGAAGCGGAAAACCGGTTATCTTGTTTGGTTAGAGAGAAAAAGAAAGTAAGAGTGGAAGGAAAATAAAATGAGAAGACAAAATGTACTAAGTGGAGGGAAAACCAAATTTCTCTCATTTTGGTGAGGAAAATGAGAGAAAATTGTTTTTTTCTTTTCTTTCCAAATTGCTTGAAACAAACATAGTGTAAATAATTTAGATTTGGATTTGAGACAAATTCCTCTAATTCATGACAAAGATCAATTCGAAATCCATATAGCTCCCTTTGTCATTTGATATTCATGCATTCAAATTTTGAAATTGAAATGCAAGAATTGAACAAAAATGTTAGTTCCCAAACACTACTAAAGGATTTATTAGTTGCTCACTCAAATCATAATCAAAATCCATCACTACCAACAATGACACTTCTTCCAATGCAACATATTTATCTTGAGTTCAAATGGTTAAAGCAAGAAAAAAGAGGCCTAAAGACACATTCTACCTCCTACCCTGTCCCCATTTCTTTAAGACATATTCATCATCACCATTTCACTTCTTCCCTTTTGCCTCCACAATCATCCCTGCTGCTAGCTGGCTCTTTGGAACCAAAATTTAAGACGTATACACTGATCCATAGCCAAAACAATGAAATTTCAACATTGAGCTTTCAGATCCTAAGTTTAAATAAACAAACAAATTTAAAAAGCACCCCCAAACTATCATTATACGGAGTATATATTACGGAGTAACATTTATCAAACATCACATATCCAAGCATCCAATATTCAAATAACAACATACAATCCAAATGCAATCAATAATAATGAGAATTTCAAAAAAAACCTAGGAATTGGATTTAGAAGAAATGACGGATTGTTGGTTACTTACCCCATTGGGGGACTGGTTGATTTTCATATGATAAGACCCGCTTGCCACCGTAAACCCTAGCCTCATTTCTTGGAAAATTTCAAGTAACTATTCGGGAAAATGAACTTATTGGAGGTGTACTTATCCCTACCAAAATCTAAAAGGATTACTATAATTTAACTTTTTTCATCAAATTATACTCCCTCCGTTCCGAAAAACATGGGAATTTTACTTTTGAAGAGGGATTTAAGAGAAGTGTATTTTGGTATTGAATTTCCAAAAATGTCCTTTGTTGTGATGAGTAAAAGTATAATTTGATGGGTAGATTATTTATAAAAAGATATGATGTGATAGGTAGGATATGAAAAAGTAAGGGGTAAAAGTGACTTTTTAATAGAAATGAGAAGTGTTTTTTGGGACGGATGAAAAAAGAAAGGAGAAAGGTTTTCAGGGACGAAGGGAGTACAATACTTTGACACCGCTTTTGGGAAAATGAACTAAAATTAATTTTTCATATTTAATTAATTTTTATTTAGAAAATGGACTAAATTTGGAAAACGCCCAATTAGAAGGGGTCATTTTGGTAAATTAATATATATACTTCTAACACCTTTTTGACAATCTTTGGTCGATAAGACTAAATTGATCATTATTTTCAATTAACGAAAGAGCTCTCATCGGTAATTAGTTCATCTTGAAATCTAATTTGAGAAAACGCATATTTATTAGATCTCATTTTAAGAATTTACACTAGGCAAAAGGCTCTCTACAACCGCACATCATCCCGTGAAACCCAATATAGTTATTCTTAAAGTGAGACCCAATAACTATGCGTGTAAGTTTTGTCCAGAAGGGCATTAGTGTAACAATATCAGAATAATGAGGGCAAAAACATAAGTTTTGAAACCATGAGTACTAACGATGCATATTTACCAAACCACATGGGGTGTTGGTGCAATAAACTCTTTTAAAACTAAGATCCAATAAATATGCACTTTCTCAAATTAATCATCAAGATGAACTAATTACCGAGAGCTTTCTCCGTGGATAAAAATATCGTTCAAATATTAGATGAATAACTCCGTTGCCCCCTATAGGAAATAGGCGCCAGCGCCCCCTCTCCTTTTTCTTTACTATTTTTCTTTTTTCATAAAGAGAAGAAAAATGTTTGTCAGTGAAATAATAAAAAATTTTAACATATACTTCATTTGTCAAATTAAATATTTTCGTTGTTTGTCTATCAAACCTACATTTTCAAAAAAAGTTTTAAAAAATAAAAAAATGTTTGTGTTTGAAATCAAAAATCTGACATATACTTCATTTCTGAAATTAAATATTTTTGTTTTTTGTCTAAAAAGTTTTTATCTTTCTGAATATGTCGGGACCAAAAGAATACTAAGTAACATCTTATTTTATATATAGTACGTTAATTATATATTATTAATATTTTCGGACCAATGTGCAAAATTTTTCATGTATGACTTATTTTTCTCTCTTCTATAAAAGTATGTTTTTCATATACTTTTCTGTTTCTTTATTTTCTTTTCTATTCGTTTTTCTTTTACTTTAATTTTGATAAAAATAAGAGAAATGGTATAAAATTAATGAATAGAAAATGAGAAATAAGCTTTAGTAAAAAAAAGAAAATATTCCATTGTTTTTCGTATCATAAAAATGAACCAATAAAGACATCTTTTAAACAAAAATGAAAATGTTTAATTTGAGACAAATTAAATGAAGTTTACGTCAATTCTTGTTATCTAATTGATTTTTATTGCAAACACAAAAAACTTGATTATTAAAACATTATTAAAATATATTTATAAAAAATAAATTAAAAGCATTTATGAAAAAATAGTAGAAAAAAAGAAAAAAATAAAGAAAAGAGGGGGCGTTTGTGCCCATTTCCAAAGAGAAATTTACTTAATTAGGACTAAAACATAATGACTTTCCCAATATAGGACCACATGTTTTTATTTCCCAATGTAGGACCTTTGGTCATTATCAAGTAGTCATTATTCAACTAAATATCCATCATTATTGGACATTATTCTTTCCACTAGGTCATTATTAAGTCCTATTTAGGAAATAAAAAAGTTTAAGTCCTACATTAGAAAAGTTATTATGTTTTAGTCCTATTTAGTGCAAATTTCACATTTCCAAAACCATAGGGGACTGTGGAGCTATTTACATAATATTTGAAAGATATTTTAGTCTAGAGAGCATTGACATATCAATATCAGAACCATGAGAGGCAACAACGTAAGTTTTGAAACCATAGGAGTAACAGTGCACATTCACCAAACTAGAGGGGGTCATGGTGCGATAAATTCTCTCTTCTTCGTTACTCCCTCCATGCCAAAAATAGTACTCCCCCCGTCTCAATTTAAATCGCCTATTTCGGTTTATGATTTTTGACTGGAGCTATTTTCAAATCATTTTATATGAAAAATGATGTAGAATTAAGAAATAAAAATTACATATTAAAACCTATACCAACAGATCTACAATATCTCTACAATATCAGTTGCGACATCATTATATTATTTTATCAAATGACTAATGAAAAAAGGAAAAGAAAGTGACTAAAGTTTGACCATGTGAGTAGTATATAATTTAATTTAGAATGAAGATAGTCCACATGTTGACTTTATTGGTCAAATTGTACAACATTTTGATCATAAACTAAATATAGTTTTAATCATAATTAAATGTGAACATGAGTAAACTTCCTCTGGGAAGTGCTTTGTATCACTCAAGTAATTGGAAAAGTTCTATAATTAAATTTTATAAAAATTGATAAATCAGAACTATATTTTAAAATAAATCTAGTTTTTATTAAATTTATATTACAACTATGTGTGTGTGTGTGTATTTAACAATCTTTAATCACAAAATTGTAGAATTTGATATAAAAAAATCAAGCTATCATAATGAATAGAATGTGTTGTGGAATGGGGGGAGAATAATTTATGTCACTCTTTAATTGAAGATAAAGAATAGAAATGACCTTAAATTAGTTCTATTATTCTAGGCAAACTTAGATCCACCCCACACCAACTCATATTCATCCTTTGATGAGGATGAGGTTATGTGGTACCTCTAATCTTGAATTCATGCGTGAGAAGGGGACTCTAATGACATGAATTTGAAGATTTGTTTTTTAATCACTCAAGATGTGTTTCTAGAAGAGATTAATGATGGTGTTTTAGGGGTATTAGGTTACGTTTTGTTCGCCTAATTTGATTCGATCTTTTGAAGATCTGATTTGGTCTGATTGCACTTATAATAAAAGTTGTTTTTGATCTGATATGATTATAACAAGAATAAGTAATAAATAGAAAAAATAAATCGAATAAACATGCCTTAGTCTTTTTAAGTAAGGCTTTCATCAAGGTGACTACATATGATAACCAAAAGTTGATTCATAATAGGAGTCCTATGCGGCATAGGGCATAAAGACAGTATGTTTTGAATTCGATTTGCAGCAATTGTGCTGAAAAGTAAATATCTTAAGCATAAAATTTGTGCAAATACTTCACCTTTTGTCATTGATCTATGATTAAAATTCAAATTAACTCTTTTTTTGAAAGAATTATTTGGGAGGAAATTCTCTGTATATTGAATTGGCTTGTAAAACTTTGGTCTTGAATACAAAGATCTAACCCTCTTTATATATGAAGAGGATAAAGTAAACAAGGAAACTTCTATTCCTACTAAAATAAGAATTAAACAAACTAGGAAAGATACTAAATACTAAACCTAATTCAACTAGGAAAGATATTAAACCTAATCCCAAAGGCCGGGATTCGATTTCCTTCTTCAATCCCGCTTCTTTATTCTGTCTCTCACACTTTCTTTCTTCAATCTCGTTTCCTTCTTCCATCTCTAACATTTTTGTTATAAAAATTCTCATCCAATAACATAACTTGTGAATTATACAAAATTAATTTATTCTTTTTTATGATGTGCAGGCCAATATGGCGGCTGATCGTGTTAAACGTTGGGGAGGTCGAACAGTACCGCGAAATTAATAGAAGAATATACGCTTTTACACTTCTTTTTTTCATTGATCTCACATTTTCAATTGCAATTATGGTTACTATTTCATATTAATCCGTACTTCCCTGGATATTGAGGTTCCAGAAGCACAAAAAGAAATACTTCCTCTGCCTCTAAAAGATGTTCATGTTTCATTTTTTGGGCATCCCATAAAACACTTCTACCCACATCTAAACAGCCTAAAATTTACCACATTTCTTCGGTAGAAGTTGATTTGAAAATTTTTTTGGCATTTAAAGTTGAATAGACGTGTTTTATGGGATGCACAAAAAACGAAACAGGAACATCTTTTAGGGACGGAGGGAGTATGAGTTTTGAGATATATCTTTTCACTTACATGGTTTCTATTAGTGAACACCACCCTCTTATACTTTTGAGTAAAATCAACAATTGGTCCTTTATAACAATGAAATTTTCCTATTTATTCTTCTATTATCAAATATTATCATAATAGGTCTTCTTTTATGAATATTTTTCCACAAATAATCTCTTTTTTTATCTTCTACCATGTTGGTGGTAATTTAAAGAGTAAAAATGTAATTTCACAGTGATACTATATCTTTCTTGTCATACACAATTCCAAAGGCCGCTCCGGATGTGTCGAATTATAGTCGTTTTTACTACAATTATAGTCTACAAATGTGATTTTTTGTCAAAATCTTAGCCCACTAGACATAAGGTTGATGTCAAATTATACTTATACTCTTTAGATTAACATCAACATGGTAAAAGATAAAAAAATGACCAATTATAGAATTTACTCTATATTTTTTGGTCAAATCAATTAGATGTCTATTAGCGGGTCTATGTAAACAAACTGATGTTATACTCCGTATATTTCTTCTCCCATGAAAAGATTCTATCTTTGACTTGATGTGGAGAGTAAAAAAATTATATGGATAAAATCTTTTTTTGGAGGGGAGAAAAAAAATATATTGATCCTTTTTATCAGACGGAGGAAGTAGGTTTACATGGGACAAGTGTAAGGTTTCTTCGGTATGTATCTTGTATCCTCATATATAATTTGGAGGTGAGCAACGCTACATAGTAGCGATAGAAGGGGATTGTATACAAATGAAAAGAAAACTTGATATACCTGTAGGGAGCGTGTGATCTTTTTCAAATAAAAGAAATTTTGGATATATCAAAAGTTCAAAACTATTCAATCAGATGAGACGTAAGTTCCAAGAACGAGTATGAAAGTTCAATGTGTTTCAAACATGCCTTGCAACTCCATTTATATAGAGAAAAACTGATCCAATGCATTTGTTGGTGAAATAGCACAAGTGGTGAAACCTTCCAATGGTTAAACAAAAACATTCAAATGTATATATGCAAATCATTGGCCAAATAGCTCTGACGCCCCCTGTGGTTTGGAAAATTGGCACCAATACCCCCCCTGTTTTCAAAACTTATTTCTAAAGTCCTTGTTGTTTCAAAACGTTGCACCCACACCCCCTCTGATCATTTTCCGGCCATTTTCCGGCGAAGAGGGGCATTAACGCATAATTTCTAAACCATAGGGGGCATTCGTGCTCATTTCTTATTTTTGTTTATTATTCTTCCCTTTTTTTATAAATATTTTCTATCCCTTTTTCCTTTTACTAGATTTTTTTAAGATATATTTTCAATTTTTTATAATGTTTCAAAAATTTTAAAATTGTTTGTGTTTGAAATAAAAATAGAAATAAAAAATTAACATACAATACATCTATCTCAAATTAAACATTTTCACTTTTTGTTACTTAGAATAATTTTTTGGAAAGTTCAAAAAAAACCCAGAATAAAAAAATAAAACATGGAAAATCAAAATGAAAAAATTAAAATACGGGAAAAAAGTCTTATACAAAAAAAATTTGGACACGCCTAAAAAAGTCCTTAAAATTGAAATGTCCGAAAAGGATATTCATTTTTATTTTTGTATTATTTTATTTCTTATTTTTTCCTCATTTTTTTGAGGTTATAAAAAAAATTACTTTTTATTCAGAAAAAACAAAATTTGTTAATTTGAGACGTACATATGCATTATATGTTAATTTTTTCTAACAAAAATAACTCTAAATTTTAAGAACATTATAAAAATATTTTCAAAAAACCTTTATTAATAAATGAAACAAAAAATGGAAAAAATGGAAAAAAAATTTCGAGAAATAAAAATCAGCACTGATACCCCCTATGGTTTAAAAAATATGCAACGATGCCCCCTTCTTCACCAGAAAAATGGCCGGAAATTGATCAGAGGGGGCATGGGTACAACTTTTTAAAACAACAGGAACTTTAGAAATGAGTTTTGAAAACAGAGGGGGTATTGGTGCCTGTTTTGCAAACCACGAGGGGTACCAGCGCTATTAGGCCGCAAATCATTACTACTACAGTTTTGCACAAACCATCACATCTGTCCGGGAATATTTGAGTGTACGTTTGATATTAAACATTCAAATGTTACATGTATTTTCATCAAAGGGAAATGTTAGTGGTTACTATACATTTGAATGTAGAGTTGTGTTATTGTGGTCCTAAGGTCCACCTGTAAAATATGGACCTTCTCACATATTTTTCATGGGCTCAAATATGGATCTTCATAACTTTACAAGACTCATTACATAAAATCATTTTACGTGTGAAAGCCTATATAACTAGTATGAATCTAACAAGTACAAAAGATTTTTTCTTGAATGTACATTGACAAAGAGTACATTTTTCTTCTCTAGAAAGTGTGTAGCAAGCCGGATGTAGAAATGTGCGATGTCATTTTTCTTGCGGACCAATCTCAGTACGAATGCCCATGTCTATTAGGTCTTTTATGACATTTACACCATGTTTAGTCTTGTCAGGGACATTTAAAAGGGTGTCAATAAGACTATCACATACCCCAGAGTATATTTTTTTCCATATGCATCATATCAAGACACTGTCTGACGAATAAGCACTCCCAATAAGGCAGTTCCCAAAATATTGATCTTTTCTTCAAAATTGGACCGTTTGGATCAACTTTTTTGTATCTTACCAAAAGTATTATTTATGTTCTTCAATTTTTTTTAGCAACGCTTTGCCAGTCATTACCTTTGGAGCAACCTCATTTTCTGTTTTACCAGTGAAAGCTTATCTCATGCGACACTTAGGATAGTGATGTTTTAAGAATCGACGGTGACCTAAGAAGACTGATTTTTTCCCGATTTTTAAAACTATAAATGTAGGTGTCCCAAAATTCTAAGGTCACTTTTGGACAAGCTAAAAAAATCCTTGTCGAATTTATAATTTTGTAGCGACGTAACAATTATTATGCTCGTAAAAATATACTAAACTACACAACACAACACCCAAACAACTTTATATTTGTAATTAATATATAAATTAAGACAACTTTTATTATAAAAATTTAATATAAACCGAAAAATTATTTTTAATAAATCAAGATAACATATAAATTATGATAAGTTTTGTCATTAAAAAATTTTGTCTTTTAATGAACATTTAACTTTTATTTTTATTAACTAAGATAATTTATTTTAAAAAATTAACTAAAATTTAAAATTTTTTAGTTTTAATTAAAAACCTGTGTACCAAAAATTTTACTTAACATTTTCTAAGTTATTATTGAAATATAAATTTAATAAAAAATGTACTAAACCACACAACACTACCTCAAAAAATTTATATTTTGTAATTAGGCATATAAATTATCATATTAAAAATATATGAAAACACAGATGTCATATTATTTTTTATTGGTACAGTGTCATATTTAATACTAAAAAACTATTGGTAATTCTTATATACTATAAATAATAAAAAGGTTTCTAACCAAAAAAAAATTAATTTAAAATTTACAATTTTCTTGTTTTGGTGCACTTAAAAAAAAGAATAGAATAATAAAAAAAGTGGTTGTTTTTTTCTTAATTAAAAATTAACAATTTGAATATAAAAGAATATGCCCAAAGAAAAAAACAACTGGAAAGAGAAAAAAACTCTTACCATTGTAAAAAAATCTACTCAAGATTTCTTTTTCTTTTGTCTTTTGTTCTCCTTATCTTCCCTTATTTTTTTCTTTCTTTCTTCTCCTTTTCTTTCTTCCTTCCCTTTCTTTCTCTCTCCCATTTATTTCCTTAATTTCTTCAGTGCATCTAGATACTCAAACTTTCCCTCTCCGATAAAATTGCTCTAATAGCATTATTGTCTCAGTAACCCTTTTAGACTTGTTGAGTTAGCCGAAGACCACCACTCAATGATATGTTGGCCCATCCAGCAAGTGTCTAAAGTGAGTCCAAACACCTTGGGTAAAAGTACCCTGAAGGAAGGTTGATTTGAAATCTGGTGAGGCGTGAGGTTATTTTGGAAGGGAAGAATGTTGTGAAGGACCTTCCATGTAATAGCTTTAACTTAGGAATGTTACTCCGTATTACTAGACATTTGAGTTTGTGAACCACAATTGGAGGGCATTGATGAACAAATATTGATCGATGGCCAACAGGTTTTTAATGGCATCCTTCCCAAGATCATATCTCAAAAGAGCAAGAAGGATATCAATGTGGTAAGGGCATTGGTGAACAAATATTGATGGCCTAAGAAATGTTACATGTCATTGACTACAAAGGAAATGGATCCAATGCTGCCCATTAGGGTGGATATTGCTAAAGCCTTTGACAGACTTTCTTGGGATTACTTGGAGAAATGTGATTTTGGCGATTGGTTTCAATCCTTTTCCACACTCAGTAATACCAAATTCTCTATTATTGTGAATGGTGTCCCTATTGGTTTCTTCCCAATGCATATATAGAGATATCAAACAAGGGGATCAAACCAGATGGGAAGGCTTATCTTGATCAAACATGTTTTGTGCTCTATTCCCTTATTACACATTGTCGCAGTGCATCAGATTGCCAAAGCTGTGCACAAAATCCTGATCCAAAGGATGAGATCATTGGGTGGCTCGACCATATTTGTAGACCAACTTCTGAGGGTGGGCTACGAGTGAGGAAACTTGATGACATTGACGGAGCTTTCCCAACCAAACTTTGGTGGAACACTTGGTGTCAAACCGTGTGGGTTTCAAGAATTTTTGAAAATAATAATCACTCTTTCACATTAAATCACCAGTGAATCGGGTAAAGTGAATTTTTCTAATAGACAATGTATATAGCATACACTTTTCTCTTTTATAAATTGTAATCTGATGTCATTATCTCCTAGTCACTCAAAAAAAAGAGTCTCTGATTTTTTCTCTTCTCCAGTGCATTCCAACAGGAGTGATTTATGAGAACCAAAGTTGCCTCTCATCATAAGAACAACAATTCGAGTTTTGAGAATGTTTCTTCTTCAGTATGAAAGTCTGCGACAATGCGTCCTCCTTGATTCTGAATGGTGACTTCTATTGCTATCTAAATCCAGTGGCAATGCAACTCCCTCCAATACTCTGATCACCTAATAAAAAAAGGTAAGACTTTTGATCCCATAACAGTAAATGTTCAAAAACAAAAAGCAAAAGCATTAGGTGCTATGAAGATTATGAGAAACCTTGGACATTGGAGGACGCCTGTGTGGTTCTCGTTGCAAACACAATGACGCGGCGGACCCCATTGCATGTAGTTCATAGGGCAAGTTTTGAAGCTGTGTTGATGCCAAAGTGCAGTCCAGCAACTGATGCTTATATGCCAACACATGAATTGGTTCCATCTTGGCTGAAGTGCAATAATGATTGCCCAGTAAAAGGTTCTTCCATTTGTAATATAGGAAGTTGCTAATTTTTTTGCCTGTGATTAACTCTAACAACACAAGGCCGAAAGCATAAATGTCAACTTTCTCTGTAACCCTTCCATCAGTGAAGAATTCTGGTGCCAAGTACCTTGAGAAGTGTTGAAATAATCAATATTGCTTCAATGGCTATGAAAGAAATATCCAATAAAGTATTGAAATGATAAATAGTGTTGAAATATTGGAATAATAATATTGCTCTCTGAATTATGGAGTACATGATAGAGTATATATAGGAGAGACTCCTAACACAACTAGGAATAGAGAATGGAAACTAACTAACATACAACATCTAGCTACCACAAATAGGAGTAGGAAACTGACTAATAATCAAACACTACCATAACCAATACTACTAGAAGTAATATTAGTATTATTGTCTAACATCCCCCCTCAAGCTGAACTCTGGCTGAAGCAAGAGGAAGCTTGGACACTAGCTGGAAACTTTGAGAAGAGAGAAGTCTGACGTGCGCCGGTGGCTGCAGACATCGTTGAAGAAGAGAGAAATTGACGTGCGCTGGTAGCTACTGACGTCGAAGAAGAAGAGAGAAGGTTGGCGTGCGCTTGTAGCTGCTGACGTCGAAGAAGAATAGAGAAAGCTAATGGAGGTGCCTGTTTGATGGAAGATCTTTGACATTCTTTGTCTTTTTCTTGGATCCGGGCAACGCCCTGTTTCTTTCTTGAAGGGGTGAGTTGTAGAGGTATTCTTTCCTCTTCCACTACTTCCCCTCTTGGCTTTGCTTTTGTGCTGATTTACTTTGAATTTTTAATGGTTCAACAGAAGAGAAAGAGAAGGGAGGTTGATGATTAGAATGAGTGATTTTAGAGAAAAAAAGTAGGTTAAAAATTGGTGATGGAAAAAAAAATTTGGGTCTGAGATTTTGATATGGTGAATTGGAGAGAAACAACAATCATTTTTTTTTCCTTTTTTTTGAGAAGATAGGATGATCTGAGAGGGTTTGTGAGGAGTTGGGGGTTTTTTTGAAGAACCATGAAGATGACAAGAGAGAGATTCCTCCTTTGATAGTTTTTTTTGTCTGATTTCAACAAGGGTTTTTTTTTCATTTGAGTGGAGAAGTTGATTTGAGGATAAAGAAGGAAAAGAAAATAGAGGTGAATAGGGTGGAGCCGCCGTCGCCGGAATTACCGGCGGCGGCGGTGGGAGCAAAGATCTTTTTTTAGGTCACCAAGAGCGGTGGCTCCGATACCATCTTGAAATATTAGAATAATAATATTGCTCTCTGAATTATGGAGTACATGATAGAGTATATATAAGAGAGACTCCTAACACAACTAGGAATAGAGAATGGAGACTAACTAAAATACAACATCTACCACAAATAAGATTAGGAAGCTGACTAATAATGAAACACTACCACAACAAATACTACCACAAGTAATACTATTATTATTTCAATAGTAATATTCTCATATTCTCTCTTCTCAAAGTTTCCAGCTAGTGTCCAAGCTTCCTCTTGCTTCAGCCAGAGTTCAGCTTGAGGGGGGATGTTAGACAATAATACTAATATTAGTTCTAGTAGTATTCGTTATGGTAGTGTTTGATTATTAGTCAGTTTCCTACTCCTATTTGTGGTAGCTAGATGTTGTATGTTAGTTAGTTTCCATTCTATATTCCTAGTTGTGTTAGGAGTCTCTCCTATATATACTCTATCATGTACTCCATAATTCAGAGAGCAATATTATTATTCCAATATTTCAATATGGTATCGGAGCCACCGCTCTTGGTGATCTAAAAGAGTTCTTTGCTCCCACCGCCGCCGCCGGTAATTCCGGCGACGGCGGCTCCACCCTATTCACCTCTATTTTCTTTTCCTTCTTTTATCCTCAAATCAACTTCTCCATTCAAATGGAAAAAAACCCTTTTTGAAATCACACAAATAAAAAATCATCAAAGGAGGAGCGTCCATCTTGTCATCTCCATGGTTCTTCAAAAAAAAAAATCCCAACTCCTCACAAACTCTCTCAACTCATCCTATCTTCTCAAAAAAAATGGAAAAAAAATTATTGTTGTTTCTCTCTAATTCACCATATCAAAATCTCAGACCCACATCTTTTTTTTTCCATCACCAATTCTTAACCTCTCTTCTCTTTCTTTTTTGTTGAACCAATAAAAATCTATAGTAAATCAGAACAAAAGCGAAGCCAAGAGGGAAAGTAGTGAAAGAGGAAAAAAATACCTCTATAACTCACTCATTCAAGAAGGAAATAAGGCATTGTCCGGATCCAAGAAAAAGACAAAAATGTCAAAGATCTTTAGTCAAACAGGCACCTCCAGTAGCCTTCTCTATTCTCCCCAGCCTTCTCTATTCTTCTTCGACGTCAGCAGCTACAAGCGCACGTCAACCTTCTCTCTTCTTCTTCGACGTCAGCAGCTACCAACGCACGTCAATTTCTCTCTTGTTTAACAATGTCTGCAGCTAACAGTGCATGTCAGAATTCTCTCTTCTCCAACAACGTCAGCAGCCCCTGGAGCACGTCATACTTCTCTCTTCTACAACGACGTCAGCAGCCACCGGCGCACGTCAAATTTCTCTCCTTTCAAAGTTTCCAGTTTCGAGCTAGTGTCCAAGCTTCCTCTTGCTTCAGCCAGTGTTCAGCTTGAGGGGAGATGTTAGACAATAATAATAGTATTACTTTTGGTAGTATTTGTTGTGGTAGTGTTTCATTATTAGTCAGCTTCCTAATCTTATTTGTGGTAGATGTTGTATTTTAGTTAGTCTCCATTCTCTATTCCTAGTTGTGTTAGGAGTCTCTCTTATATATACTCTATCATGTACTCCATAATTCAGAGAGCAATATTATTATTCTAATATTTCAAGAAATAGAACCAGCTAGCTAATCTTTAGTTAGTATTGAGATTGCACGTACCCTGAAGTTCCAAGGCGTTTGTCATATGACAACTCCCATTCACTGTGCAACCTTGCAAGCCCAAAATCTGTAACCTAATAACAACAACAAAAACTTGATTAGATCCCACATAACTTTGAAAATAACTACAGATTGTCTGATGATTAGAATGAAAGTAGGATAGTGAAGACTCTAATGTCATTTCTTAGACATTAAACAGGACACTTGAAGAGTTCAGGGTCCACTAGACTCCATGTATAGACTCCATATGAAATAATCAATTATTGCACCATATGAAAGAAACTGTATATTGTTTTTAAAATTGAAAAACAATATAAACCAATAGACTACGGAAACAAATGAACTAATTGCTCTAAGTAACACTAAAGACATACCAAAGGTTCAAAATCATGAGTTAAGAGGATGTTCTTTGGCCGCAAATCCCTGTGAACTATGCACCCCACCCTGCAATCTTCATGAAGATAGCGTAACCCTCTAGCTGTCCCTATAGCTATCTTCAATCTTGATGGCCAATCAAGACATGTTCCATTATTTCCTGTCATATGTATGTTGGAACATCTTACTCCCCCCGTTTCATAAAACGGTTCCTAGTTTGACTTTTAAGAAAAAAAGATGTGTATATGTGTGGTTAACTTTCCAATTTTGCCCTTGATGTGATGGGTAAAAGTAAGATGTGATCGATAGATTATTAGTGAAAAAGTATGTTGTGATAGGTAGGATAAAAAAAAGTAAGGGTAAACGTGGATTTTTAATAAAAAGTAGAAGTGTTTTGGGGAAAACAAAAAAAATTGAAAGAGGAAGCGTTTTATGAAACAGAGGAAATATTATATTTGAACTAACACACACACACACACCAAAAAGAAAGGAAGAGAAATTACCATGTATATGAAAGTCCAAGGACTTGTGGCATATATATTCATACACTAAAAGCCTCCTGTTTTGTTCGATGCAAAAACCGACCAGAAGGACTACATTCCTATGTTGTGCACAGCTCAACACTCTCACTTCCCTACAGAAATCAGCATCGGCTTGAGTGCCAATATACTTGAGCTGTTTCACAGCAACCACCATGTCGTCCTTCAGGACTCCTTTATGTACCAAACCAAACCTTCCTTGTGCTAGAAAATTCTCACTAGAGAACCCATCGGTCGCTTCCTCTAGCTCTTTGTAGGTGAACTCCTTAGGAGGCTTCCCAAAAGACGGAGCTTTCAGTTGACATGTTGAACACAAAGGAGGTGACTTTGAAGAGGCTCTACCTGAATGCACTCGGAGGTTCTGAAATGTCTTTGTTAAAGATGAGATTGTTATAGTTGTTTCCCCAACTGGGTCATTTTCTTTATGAGACTTCCCTTTATCAATATTACTATCAGGACCTTCGTAAAGTGGATTGTGCTGGCAAAGAAGAAATGATAGATTTTGTTGTGGATTCGCTCTCGTGTATATAGGACTTCTGGGGTCCTCAGGACTGCTTACAGGAGTTGAATAATGCTTCATCACATGGCTATAGATATGGCCATGTGAGGTTATCATATGGTCCAAAACCGGCGACGAGTGAGCAGAAAAGAAAGGGGTGTGTGATGGTTCTTCTGAGGATGACTCTAAATTGAGCCTAAGGACTTTCGGATGGGAACCTTTGATGACTACGATATTGCATCGAAGCTCCTCCAAGCAAACCTTGCGCTCTTGTTTGAGTTTTCTGTTTTAGAAAATTAAGGTAATATGAGTTTTTTGGCAATAGTTTTCGAGTTTAGCTCCAACTTTTTGAAAACGTTATCCAATGGTAACATTTAACGTAGGCATTTTTTTTTGTAGCTAGCATTCAAAAATTATTTTAAATAATAGCTAACATTATTCCCAAAAAAAATCTTTTACTATTTGGACGGTATGGCTCCCGTTTATGTGTGCAATTTAATGAAGTTAATTTGTGTGGGTAGAGGAAACTTAAAATTTCAATAACAATTTATCACTTGTCTTTCTGCTACGCAGTATTGATTTGGCTACACAAGTCCGCATATTCTAACACAATCCTTTGCCTCTTAATTCTACTGAAATATTAAGTTATTCAAAAAAAGTCTAAATAGCATGCAATATAATTCAATTACTCGATACTTTAGATGTGTTGCCAACTCGTTATTTCAGATGTCATGTCAGCCAAAAAAACTCTACGTAATTAAGCTCGAAATTGACTTAGCCGGGTTGGAGTAGCGATATAAAATCTAGTAATTTTTCAAAGTATTACATTGCAAAAAAGAATCTAAGGATATATAATATTTTATAATCGCTGAACCAGGGAGTATTGCCGTGATATATTTCTTTAAATAATGGTTTAAAGACATAAAAATTATATGCTTAAATGTTCTTAATAAAAGAACATACTCCATCCGTCCTAAATTTAACTTCTCATTTGACTTTTCACGGTATCCAATGCGGCACTTTGACTATTAATATCTCCATTTTTATATGAATATATATTATCAAAATAGTATATTTCAAAACTATGTTTCAAAATAAATCTATTGATACTAAATTCATATGAAAATTCAATATATATTTTTACGTAATATACAGTAAAAATTTAAAAACTTTGACTGCAAAAGTCAAAATGGGAAATTAATTTTAGGACGCAGGGAGTAGTAACAAAAGTGAGTGGTATCATAGACCTAAACAACCTTAAAAGAGAAAATTGAAAAATAATTGAGCGGCATTTTTGACAAAAAAAATTTGTAGTGGCATTTTAAAACATCTATGTATTTATTGGTTCCAATCGGTGAAAAAGTACGCCAGTGACAGTTTTGACACGTGATAAAACTTTATTAAAAGATAGACATATTGGCGTAGCAGCAAAGATGTCACCCAAGCTTCTCCAAGGAATTAAATTTTTTTTACAAAACTAATACTCCGTAGTTGGGTGACATTTTAACACAGTGGTTTCGTAGCCTTTGCCTTTTTGGAGTAGCTCCGGTGCTACATTCACAAAATTTATGATATGTACCTCCTCTAACCCCCATAAATCCTCCCACCCCAACCTCACTCCTACCCCCTCCAAATGGGTGCCTATTATAATAGCTACACATTTTGGTGGGGGCAAGGGTAGGATTGGGGTAGGAGTTTAGCGGAGGTAGAATTATCAATTTTTTGAACAAAACACCAGATATACTCTAAAAACGCAGTGGTAGCGGCAATGGATCTGATGGGGCCTAAATTTTAATCCTTGGACTCTCCGACCACAATGCAGTAAGAAAAAGAAAATGCATTCATATATGGTACGGAACTCCAGGAATTAATTACCTGTCCAGGATAACCCAACTAGCTGCATTGCTCTTTGCTTCAGCAGCCACAGTACCCGCAAAAGTGGCTAACACAACCTTAATCCGCACTTTGACCTTTAATCAAATTGCAAGAGATTAATTTATAACACGCTGGCTCAATATTTTTAAAAATATACGTTGTGAACTAAACAATGTTTATACGTTAAACAAGCACTCATTCACTAAATTAAATAAGGTTTCTCGCCAGCCGGGCACAACTCTATAGTAAGAAACTAAGAATTCCAAAATTATAATTTGTTCCAGTTTATGCCCAAGGGGTTGGTTAACTGGCCGCCGAGTGTGTGAGGGCCGACCGAGGGTTAATTGAGTGGAGCCGAGGTCGGGGGATGTGGTGGTGTGTTGTTCTCCATGCGAAAATGTGGTGATGTGTCTGTCAAAGAACCAATTCAACTAAAAGTTTAAGTTTGTAGTTGTGGCCCAGGAAGAGTTATTTATATTCTAACACGCCCTCTCACGTGCAGGTGTTAGGGGTGAACCGGGGGTCTTATCAAGTTGATAATTTAGTTTAGTGGCGGATGTGCGGAGGAAAATGCAAGGGAAATAGTGGGCGAAAGTATGGAGGGTGTTTTAGGAGTTCTTTTTTTGGTGATTTATGGAAGAAAATGAGTAGGATTAAGAAGGAGAAATGGGGGGATATGAAATGGAAGAAAATTAGGGATGGATAAATCAAGTTGGTGTTTAAGAGATATTACACACTCTTATCTTAACTTGGGGTTTGAATCCAGAATTTAATTAAGATATGACACACTTAATTAAATATCTAGAACCTAAAACTCACACTTAAGATAACCACTCTTAAGATATAGAATTAGGAATTTGGCTAAAATAGCATCACACTATTTTAATAATACTCAAAGAGTAAAAGATTTTCAATATTCAGAAATTGTGTTACAATGGCCATAAGACCTGAGTTATATAGGCAGGGGAAGGGGGAAATAATACACAATGCAATGAATGTGAACATAAGGAAGCTTCCTAGCAACATCCTCTCTCAAATCTCTGAAATATCAGCCATGTTTTGAGGTCCTTTTATTGGAATAAAATCAAGGATGGGTGTGGTTGTAGGGCCTCCAAACCAGGGGGAATGAATGGCCTTCTTTTGGGCTGATTTTGGGGGATGTATTCAGCCAACTAGGGGGACAATGGGAAAGGATAATGTGTGGTACTCTGGCTGCATATATGATGATTTATTTGGTGGTTAAAGGGTTAAGAAAGTACCATTTTCTCCTGGACTTTTATGGTTGTTTAGTGGGTTGTACTAGGGAACATAGTAGGGACCATGTTGGGTGGATGTTGGAAGATGAATGGGGCTGTTTTGGTTTCCTATTGTGACCATGGATTAAAATATATAGAAGAGAATTTATTTGGATATCAAAAGGAAATAAAATACTTTTGGATGTTTGGGGTTGGGTTGGACGGAAAAGGGGGTTGACCAGCGGAACCCTTAGGTCAAAAACGAAAGTTATTTTGGCCTTTCGGGCTAAAGGACATTGAATTCTCACTAAAATGGATCATAATGTTTGAACCTAAGTCCTTTGGTTTCCATGAGGGTGTGGGATATGGGGGAGGGTATGATAGGCTCGGGCCCAGATATATCA